ACATTCGTTTCTCATTGCAATCTGTTGCTATTGACAATTATCGAAGAAAACGGTTTGATAGGGATAACTAATATATTTTATTCCTTTATATATAAAAGTTGATGTAGGCCTACTAAATGAGGATGATTAATTTTCAAAAATTTATATGCGTATGTTTATGTAGAGATGATCCTCCATGAAATTTAACATCCAGTGCCCCCCCCCCCCTGTGTGGAGCATGGGCATAATTCAACTACAGTTCTCGAATTCCATGTACTAAATTTCATATGCTTTTTAAATTCTCAAAACTGAACCGCCATGTTATATTCATGCTAGGATTTTGTAACTAGGATGATTTTGTACTGATATTGCTATCCACAGTTCTCCATTTCTTCAAAATTGAAGTTAGAAAAAAAAAGGGGGGGGGGGTATCTGGTTTAATTAGTTGTTTCTATGGTTCAATGCATTTATCAAAAATTACATCTGAACTAGCTTTGATCTGTTCACTGGACTTGACCTCTCTCTGCAGGAATTCAGCTGTAATAAACAGTGAAAATAATATCTAATCCCGGGGTAGGCGTTGCCACTGACCTCTCACGAATCCCCACACTTGTTTTTTGTATTTGATAGACGACCAGACGCAAATGTGCGTTCTGTCATTCGACTTCCTGGTGAGGCAGTAGTGGTTGAAGACGGAGAAGGCGTCAGCGTAGGGGATCCCGGAGTTCACGGAATCTGTCTCCACCACGAACACTTGTCCTGGCTGACTTGACTGCAGAGTCTGTGTCAGCAAGTAGGTATGAAAGAAACGGACAAGAAATAGACCTGTTTAGCCTGAAAACAGAGACGAAGGTTCTCTCGTTATATTTTTACTGTTATAGAATCTCAGAAAATCGCCAGGCCTTAAGGAATTACACTAAAAGGGTTGAACTGGCAGTAAATAAAGTCCAATCAATTAAACAAATCATGCGAAACTGATTTCACCTGCGTTTCCGTGACGAAAGATGCTTTTGCTCCAATAGTCGAGAGGGAAAGCGCCATATTGTAGGTAACTGTGCGCGTGCTGGGCTCCCCCTCCTGGTCTTGCCACGTGCTACACGTTACGTCTGTAGAGGGGAAAGTACTAGGATCTCATAGATATTAAAATCAATGATAATCAGAACAACAACAGTGATGATAATAATAATAATGGCAATATGATATGGCTTCTAATCACTTTTCGAGTTTTTTTTTTTCAAGATCAAAACGAGCTCTATACGTATGAGGTTGATGATGATCATTTTTGGATAACAGACTGGGTAGAGATTATGATTATTGGGTAATTAGCTGGTTGGTAATGGTAATTACTGAATAACTGAAAGGGTGATAATGATAGTCACTGGACATTTAATAAGTTGGTCATAACACTTACTCTTAATGAAGATATACATTGGAAAACTAACAGGTTGTTGAGGATACTTATCAGAAATACAATGCCTTTGGGACAACACCATCACCCACACGTGCACCATCCCACCCGAAGAGAATAGATATAATCCATCTGCCACTTAGCCATTAAACATAACAACCCATCTGCCACTTAGCCATGAAACATAACAACCCATCTGCCGCTTAGCCATGAAACATAACAACCCATCTGCCACTTAGCCCACCCGCATCCTCGCCCCCCCACCCCACCCCCCGCCCCCCTTGCCGCCTCACCTGTGGTCTTCCTGGCAGCGTAGACGTCAATCATGAGCTGTTCTTGGCGGAAGAGAAGGGCGAAGACCGTGTCGACCGGAAGCGACACCTCGGCGTTCAGTAAGACTTTCCCCTGATGCTGCGGCTCCAGGGGACACGCCAGCGACGGCTCCCCTGTGGCAGAGGGAATGCAGCGTTAAAACTAAAACTAAAACTGAAACTAAAAAAATAGCAACTAAAAAAAAAAAAAAAAAAAAAAAAAAAAAAAAAAAAAAAAAAAACAGTAAATAAAAAAATAAAAAAATAAAAGGTAAAAAGTAAATAAGAAATACAATAACAATAGAAATAAAGACTATATGGATTGATGTCTGAATACATGTATAGGTAAATGGATAGAAAAGAAAACTGGCGAAAAATGAAGAGTTAAAGCTAAGAATAATAATAATAAAAATAAATAATATATGAATAGATATATGAATAAATGTGTATATAAAAGGATAGAAAAGAGAACTCACAGCACAAACAGAATTTACATACGGATCACAATACACGAAACGAAAACGTATTTTCAAGAACATATATTTAAAAAATCATAACCGCCTCCATAAGACCCGAAAAAAATAAAATAAAATAAAAAAAAAATCGCCATACATAAAAAGACAAGAGAAGAAAAAGATGAAAATTAAAAAGAAGAAGAAGAGTGAGAGAAGAAAGAGAAGATAACGTTCTAACAAAAATTACGTTCTAAAAAAAATAATCATAAAGAAGACGAAGAGTGAGAGAAGAAAAAGAAGATAACGTTCTAACAAAAATTACGTTCTAAAAAATAAAATAGAAGAAGAAGAGTGAGCGAAGAAAAAGAAGATAACGTTCTAACAAAAATTACGTTCTAAAAAATAATAATAATAAAGAAGACGAAGAGTGAGAGAAGAAAAAGAAGATAACGTTCTAACAAAAATGGCGTTCTAAAAAGAGAAAAGAAAAGAAAAAAAAAAAGGTTTATCCCATCCTACCCGCCATCTCGTCGCTCTCCGTGGAATCCTCCTTGTCGAGCCGCGTCCTGGACACGCTGAGAGGGAACATGGCCGTCGGCGGCAGCTCCGAGACCCTCCTGGCGCCCCGGTCGTCGCCTGCAGGGACGAAGGAGGCCGAGCGCTCGTCCCCGTCGCTGCCCTGGACGCCATTCTGGAGGGGGGGGGGGAGGTCGGGCCATCGGGTGCTTTGTCGTTAGTTTTTTTTTTTCTTTGGTTATTGCAGTTATCTTTATCTTTTCTTCTTCAACCTTATCCTTATTATTATTTATCATTATTATTATTATTATTATTATTATTATTATTATTATTATTATTATTATTAGTTATCCTTAACTTCTCCTTCAACCTTATCATTATTATTATTACTATCATTATCATAATTATTAAGGGATGGGCGTTCGATCCGCGATTCGCCTCCGCGTCTCGGAGGCGGATGGCGCCCACGGGATTCCTGCAGATACCCCTTGCCGGGCACTGGCTTCGGAAACCACGAGGTCACACATCTCTAAGCACTCGCACAGAAACACTCATATATGCACTCACATGCACACACAGAAACACTCATGTATGCACTCACATATACACTCACACAGAAACACTCATATATGCACTCATATACACACACACAGAAACACTCATATATGCACTCACATACACACACAGAAACACTCATATATGCACTCACATATACACTCACACAGAAACACTCATATATGCACTCACATATACACTCACACAGAAACACTCATGTATGCACTCACATATACACTCACACAGAAACACTCATGTATGCACACACAGGGACACACATATACACTCACACAAAAACACTCATATATGCACTCACATATACACACACAGAAACACTCATATATGCACACACAGGAACACACATATACTCACACAGAAACACTCATATATACACACACAGAAACACTCATATATACACTCACATATACACTCACACAGAAACACTCATATATACACTCACATCATATATACACACATACACTCACACAGAAACACTCATATATGCACACATAGGAACACTCACATACACTCACACACATCCATTTACATTTATACTTAAATATGTATACTTTCATATCTTTTTATTCTGATAAAACATCGACGATTTCATTTTTACGCGATTCAATATATTTTCCAATAACTCAAAAAGGAAAATAAAAAATATCTATTTCTTATCACGGCTATACAATGCAGGATATGAAATATGAATAATGGATATGAATAAAGCAATAACAAAACAACGACAATAATAATAGTAATAATGATAATGATGATGATAATGATGATAATAATAATAATAATAATAATAATAAATATGATGATGATGATGATTGATGATGATGATGATGATTGATGATGATGATGATTATGATGATGATGATGATGATGATGATGATAATAATAATAATAATAATAATAACCCCACGACGGCAAATGCTTCAGTATGAATCGTTGTTATTATTGTTGTTATTGCTATCATTATCATTATTTCTATAACTATTATTAATATTGCTATTATTATTATCATCATCATCATTGTTATCATTATTATACTTATCATTATCCTTATTGTTACTATTATCAACATTATATTATCATTGTTATTATTTTATTTAATCATTATTACTATTATTATAGTTAATATCACTTTTATCTCTGCCAGAGATTATATTTTAGTAGCGTCGGTTAGTATTGATCCGGATCCAGGAATTTTTGTAATGCTTACATCAATTAACTTTATATACAGTGGTAAATATTATCATAATTAGCTTAATTACCTCAGCCAAGGAGGTAATAAAGGCCGGCACCAGTGTCCTTGAGAAAAGTGATTTTGATGTAATTCTCTTAAATATCTTTATTGCATCAGTGACCCTGTTGCCTTGGCGGAGGTATGCTCTCTCTGCCCTTCTAGTTGTTGTTGTTATCATTATTATTATTATCGCCATTATAATTACTATTAATTATATTATTATTATCGCCATTATTATTATTATTATTTCTATTATCTTCATTATTATTATTATCAATATTATTGTTATTATTATCATTATCATTATGAGTATTATAATTATTATCATTGTCATTGCTCTTATCATCATTTTTATCATTATTTTCATTATCACTGTTATTATGGTTATCGCTGTCGTTTTTTCATATTATTATTATCATTATCATCATCATTATCATTAATCATTATTATTATCTCTATCATCATTATCATTAGAATTATTGGTAATATTATTATCATTATTATTATCAGTGTTATTATTATTGTTATTACCATTTGATTAGCATTGATTTCAGTGGATCATCTATAATTTTAAGATTACACACACACACACACGTACACATGCGCGTGTGTATGTGTGTGAGTGTGTGTTTTATAAAAGAAGATTACAGAACATTATCATTCAAAGCTCAGTTGTCATCTTTTGTACTCTTGGTATTTTATAATCCAATAAAAGAAATATTAGATCTTTCTTAATGAACAATTAAATATGAATCCTCTTAATATCACAAGTTGAATATTTTTTAGGCACGTATTCAGCGAAAATGCCATGTTTTTTTGTTGTTTTTGTTTTTTAATCCTAATGTGTCTGCTACACAACATAACTTATAGGAACAGAATTAAAGTTATAGGAATAGAAACATTCACTTGACATTACAACATGAAATAGAACCGACCCGACGAAAGCCGTATTAGGAAAATACACTAGGAAAGATTTTACTTACTTCCTCAAGCTTCATGTGTTGTTTTGCTCCGCCTCAGAAACCGGTGATCAGACGCTCTCTTGGGAAAAAAATATATTGATATCGTTAGAATAATCGTTACTATTATGCGGTGATCATACATTTTCTTGGGGGGATATTATTGATATCGTTCAACTAATCATTATTATTATACGATGATCATACACTTTCTCGGGGGAAAAATAATGATAATCATTAAACTGATCTTTCTTGGGGTGAAATTAGTGATATCGTTCAACCAATCATTATTATTATACGATGATCATTCTTTTTTTTTTTTTTTTTTTTTTTTTTTTGGGGGGGGTTATTGATATCGTTCAAACAATCATTATTATTATACGGTGATCATACACTCTCTCGGGGGAAAAATAATGATAATCATTAAACTGATCATTACTATTATACGGTGATCGGACGTTCTTGGTATTGTAGTCTACGAAAGCTACTATAACTGTAAAATTAGGGCAAATTTTAATGGCGTATCATGCAGTAAGGATTTGGTTAAAGTACTACCGTCATTATTACACGATATTGCTATTACCATTGCTAACGGTATTGTTGTTCCAACGTTCTTTTGTTACGATCACCTCTAAAACTATTATCATTATTATCATTAGGCATACTGTTATATTTTTTTAGAATTGTTATTGTCGTCATAAGTATCAGCATAACTACAATGACAATTCCTACCATCATAAATGTGATTCTTCCTTTTATTTTTATTCTTATTCTTATGATTATGCAACGATACATAATTACAATCAGTGCCTTAACATCACTAGTCCCAGAAGCTCAGAGAGTATATTTGCATTTTCCGTCTTTATCTTGTTCTTATCTTCGCATTTAAACTCTCAATATTTTTTTAGATATTATGAACATAAAGTTAAGTCCCCGTTTTCACACCTAAAGTCGGTTTATTCACGCTACACAGCCTCGTAGAAGTAGAAAGAGGCTCTCATACGCAAGGTCTATCTATATAAGTACTTATATAGGCCTTGCTGACACACTCAGACAACGAAGAGTTACCGCTAGTCTCTACGATATATTTCTTCATTTATAAATTGTCACATTACGAGTGACTTTCCCCTCCCTTCGCTACCATAGTCAGAATGAAGAATGATTCAAGGGTCTGTGTATGTGTGTTTATGTGTTCGTATGCGTGTGTTCGTTTGTCTTGGGTCTGTGTATGTGTGTTTATGTGTTCGTATGCGTGTGTTCCGGTCTGTGTATGTGTGTTTGTGCTCGTATGTGTATGTGTGTTTATGTGTTCGTATGCGTGTGTTCGTTGTCTTGTCTTGGTCTGTGTATGTGTGTTTATGTGTTCGTATGCGTGTGTTCGTTTGTCTTGGGTCTGTGTATGTGTGTGTTTATGTGTTCGTATGCGTGTGTTCGTTTGTCTTGGGTCTGTGTATGTGTGTTTATGTGTTCGTATGCGTGTGTTCGTTTGTCTTGGGTCTGTGTATGTAAGTGTGTTTACGTTTGTTGTGTATGTGTTTGTTTTGCGTTCGAGTTTGTGTATATGTGTATGTGTTTGCGGTTCTTTTGAATATTTTGGCTGTTTTGAGAAGCAGACACACTCTCAGTTAGGTTAAATCCATGTCCAGATTCAAGATTTTCTCAATGATTAAAGTTACTTTTTAATTACCAGTACGTTACTTTTTGAAAAAAAATTATATGCCTCTTTTTTCCAATCTTTTCAAATATGTTTTTCGTTCTCTTTCGAATGGGATAGTACTGCCCAAGGGATAACATAGCGATATAAAAAAGAATATTTATTATATCTATCTTGTCATGTTCAGACATTATTATTGCTGTTATTATTGTTATTGATTTAATTGTTATTATCATTATCACATCTCTTTGTCATCATTATTGTAGATTTATTAGTAGTAGTATCATTGTGGTAATTATCATTATCATCTAACAATAACAGTTACAATTACTGACATTATTTTAGTATCGTTATTATTCATTATTCGCATCTTCCCCATTATTTTATTATTTATTATTATTTGATTATTATTATTCATCGCATCTTCCTCATGAATGTCTTCATCTTTATTTTCATCATTATAACCACTCTCATCAATAACATAATAATTATCGTAACGAATATTAATATTATCATCATCGTTATTGCAATCATTATCATTGTCTAAATCACTATCGCTATTGCAGTTGTCATTCACAATTAAGCCTTCCCATTATGATTAATATTATCTCTATCATAATCATTACCATTATTATTGCTATACATATCATTACTTTGGTTTTACAATCTTGATTACCATCTTTATTGTTGGTACAGTTATTACTTGTTCGTTTTTCTTAGTATCTGTTGATCGGTTAGAGAAACGTGCACTTTCTCGGAATCGAGAAACTTGTTTTTTTTTTTTTTTTTTTTTTTTTTTTTTTTTTTTTTTTTTTTTTTTTTAGTTATTACTTGTTCGTTTTTCTTAGTATCTGTTGATCGGTTAGAGAAACGTGCACTTTCTCGGAATCGTGAAACTGCATTAAAGTCTTTGTATCTTTATGTCCTTATCTTTTATCGTCTCAGTCGGCTGTTGACGTTACACTCCCATCATACACAAGTGCATATCTTATAGAAAACGGGATATAGATAAAAACATAAACACGTGAACCACACGTACCGAACCGGCCAATTTTTGCAAGATGGCGGCCATCTGTGCAAACAAGGGGGTATTTCCTTTTCCTCTTACAAAGTTTGTTTAAATAAAAGAGGGAAAGCTGCAGTGAACTTGTGGCGCCTCGTTTTCTGTTCTGTTCATCGTATAACATTCGGAACTGACTTGGTGTTGTACATTTCTGAAACATGCAATGTTTTCTGGAAAGTTGTTCCATTCATTCATTGTTTGTGTGTATTGTGTGTGTCGTTGCGTGGGTTTGTATGTTTTGTGTGTGTGTGTGTGCTTTGTATATCTTTGTGTATGTGAGTGCATTTGTGAAGCTTTGTATCTGTATTTATTTTTGTCCCTATTTGCATGTGTGTCGTTGCGTGGGTTTGTATGTTTTGAGTGTGTGTGTGTGTGTTCTGTGTGCCTTTGTGTATGTTGTGTGTGTGTTTGGTATGTTCTATTTTTGTCTGTATGTATGTGTGTGAATATGTGCTTTTATATGTGTGTTTGCGCGCTTATTTATCTACTTGCGTGTTTATGAGTAAGAATAACTATAGATAGATAGACTATTGCGTGACTCTATTGCGGCATCTCGGTTCTGCAACTGTACGAAGAGTTTTTTCCTCCAAGGGTCATTCTCGCCTCATCAGTTGGATGACATTTTGATCTCTCGCCGGGAAGTTTATCTCGTCTCATCATGTCGTGATTGTATCTTAATTCGTATCTTGTTTAGGTAGTCATCGTTGGTATAGATCCTGCCCTAAACACCCTCACTAACTACTGTATCCCTGGGTTATTCTACTTCTTGTTTATTTCCCTCTGCTTCAGTAATTAGTGGCTACTATATAGAGCTTCGCCTTTAGGTATCTTGAGTTCATGTATTTGAGCCGACTGGCCACGGGAGCTATTGTCGTGAAAGCGAGGTTATTGGCAATGCATCATCTGAAATTTCTCTGCAATACACACAGCAAATCATCTAAAAAACGAAGGATTTAAAAGATAGAAGACAGTATAGATTCCAGAGTAACATCACGTGTACACTTTTTTTCGGGAGCTTCCTCTACCTCCAACGTTAATTCCTATCAAGTTGTAAAACGGACACTGGTATGTGACAACGGGCCTGAGTGGGTGACATGTATGACAGGTTATGTTATGTAAAGTGAGAATGTACCGACCGCTGACGCAATACTGAAAGCTGAAAACTGAACTACTACACATGCGAACCAAAGTTAATATATTTCAGAATATGATCAATGGCTGCTGTAAAAACACTGAAAACTCCTACATATGTTTACCTAAACAATGAAATTAGATAAGTATGATATGAAATACATACCTTATATAGATGAGAACAACAGGAAAATATCAAACAGTCTGATCACTGAATATAGTCCAAATAAAGTCAGTTTCACGAAGATACAATAGCTTGATTAATGCAACAGATTACTCGAAAGAGAAAAACAATATTTCTGAATGTCCTCTTTCGTCGCCACACAGCACGACGGCGGCAGTGCGCGTTCCACCAGGTAGAGAAAGTACACTGAGCTTCTGTTCCGAGGGAAGAGACACAGAGGAGCGAGGTTTTGGTTTCTTTGATATGGAGCCGCACAGCTGGACTGCATGATTTTAACTAGGCTTTAATATCTTGTAGTCGATTCATAATTTTCCTTCCATATCATAGGATATTCATATATATTCTTTCTTTAATTGTAATAATACATATAATGACATTTTAACATGTTGTGCAAGGCCGTTATCATACAATCTGCAGGGCACGACAGAGATAAGGAGATAAGACTACCCATTCGAGCTGCGTGTTCGCCGACAGCCTTCCGCTTTGAACCCCCGCGAAAGCCTGATAAAATAGATCTTACCCGCACGCACGCCCCCCCCCCCCCCCGCACGCCCTTCGCTGCTTCAGGAACTTATAGACACATTACACACTGGGACTTTTATCATTTTGTAAACAGAAGAGAGATTTAGATATCACCAAGACACTGAGCGTCAAGAATCTTCTGAGGGCAACTGTACTGAGGGGTCTTCGCGCACACCCCACACCGCCCGCAAAAGTCTATTTAATATATATATTTATAGAATTATGTAGACCTTGACGCGCGCACCTTAAGTATTTGTGCACACAGTTCATACTGCATTGGAATGTTATATTTGAATCATAATACATAAATGCATGCGCGTCCAAACGGCGATTTGGAATGGAAATTATTGTTTATCTAGTATGACGATTTATAATGATTAAGCAACGGTTTCCAGACCCATGTTCACCAATAGCAAAGTTAGAACCAAGGTCTGTACTTCTATAGGCCTCGGCAAGAAATATATCTGAATCAAATGAACTACATGGATTAGACATACCCGACCATCAGATCTTGTGCGAAGTTGCAATAAAAAACACATATCCAACATTTTAAGCACATCTGAAAGCTTATCTAACTTTCTTTAATATATTATATTTTTCCTTCCAAAAGTATATCCTGACGCTTTCTTCCTATCAACCTAATCCATAAGCAATGTTTTTTTCTCTCTCTTCTTAAAAACTGTTTAATCAGGCGAGCATGATCGACAGGCAATTTTACAGATGACGTCATATGCGAGAAAACAAGTTAACTTCTTGTTCAATATTGTCCGCCCGTGACGTCATCCTATTCGTGCCCGGCCGTGTACCCACCTGTGGAGACCGTATACTTCTCCATTTTCATTATTTCTTTTATTTTATCTTTTTTACATTATGATTTTTGGATGAGTTAGATATGTAAAACTTTGATCTTTGGGTATCGATTAAAGCAACACATTGGAGCTGAACGTACTGGAAAAATCTTGTTATATACCCCATAACATACGGACAATATCAAACATTTTCAACAGACCCCTTATGAACATTTTCCGCGTAGGTTCTTGATAAAAAGTCATGATCATATATAGAATGTTTATTTTGGTTGTCCACCCAATTTTCTGGTGGAATCCAGCATTATTTACATATATAATTGTGTAGCTTTGAGCATGCTCTGGAAACTTATATGCCAAAACTGAATGTATCTCTAAATGCAAACAAGATAATATATTTAAATACAAGTACAGAGTCGCTCCATTTACAACTTACTTATTTTGGCCGGTAAGATGTCCTTTAAAACCACATAACAACAGTTTCTACACTTACACTTTAGATATAGATTTCAACAATTCAACACAATTTTCATACACAGTATGAATAAAATCATATATTTTTAAATCAAGGTTAAAGATACTCGAAGTCATTTCCACTGTACTGTACACATTAACTCAAATTTTAAGACCGTTGGAGCTCTCCTGCACTATATGAAAGAATGACAAAACGCTAACATGTATTTCTTCCTCTGGTTAACATCTCCTACGCAAATTCTGTTCTTAAGAAAATGGATAATAGTCCCCAAAACACTGAATAACGAGATGACAACAGGTTTGCTCAAATTTCTAACACCTCTAGGATACCATTCAGAATGAAGTGCTAACCACAGCTATCGTTTACCTCACTGAATAGTATACAGTTATGTAAGCTCTCTATATGATATCCTTCTCCATGCTATCATCATCTAACCAAGGAACAGAACATATAACCATTAAAATGAAAGACTAACATATACCTGTGTTTTCCAAGATACAGTAACAAGTGGCTAGTGCTCTACTGCTTTACGAAAGTGAAATCACATAAATTTCAAAGCCAAGATCAGTTTTTCTTGTCATAGACCAATTTCTTCCACTGATACATCTTTGCCTAAAATCTTGGAAATGTCAATACTTTATATAACGCTGAAAAAATAATTATGTTCCCAAGAAACACTGGCTTTACTAATTCCAACATAAAAGTGGCGCACACACACACACAAACATACATGTACTAGAACCACATACATTCAAAATAATAAACGGTTACAAAATAAGGTGCTGACTTTATCTTTTATAATTAAAAACACAACTGTTTCAACAACAAATAAAGTATATCCAAGATCTAGAATAGTTTAAATTAATTACAAGCCAATAATTCCGTAAGCACATGCTACTATGTTCTTGATATTCAAAATAGTAATACATAATGTCCAGGGCATACCAATATGAAAAAAATACCTGAGGTGCAATAAAACAGGGCACAGAAGGCTGAATCAAATCTACAACTGGCATTTCATTAAATATTGTCAAATTACAGTCTCTGCCCCAGCAGACTTCTTTTAACTCCACTGCATCCACAGTATTCTGACTGTTGTTTTAAGGAGTGTGAGCAACTGTGACATTGTGTGTCACCTGGTTACATCCTATCACTCCTTAACTAAAAATCTCATTTTGCATTATTGGCTGCACATACAGGTAACACACTTATGCAGGATACACACATTCTACAAAAGATATTATTACATCCAATTTTTCTCATGAGAGAAAAAAAAATTATCGACACCAACTGATCATCGTTAATTTCTTTAATAAATATAAGGCTTCAATTGGAACTAAATCTAAAAAAAAAAATAAAAAAAAGTATGGATAAAAAGGTCATAACCTATTTCCTAGAAGTATCACAGACACTGCATGACACTTTCATACCCATCTTAATGCAGTTTTACAGATTTTATTGCCATTTTGTGTAGCCAACAAGTGCTACTGAACCTTCATTTCAAGTATAGAATGGTGCAATTATGCTAGGGTGAATAATTTTCATTTTACAAATTAAAGTTTGTTAGTACTCACTAGGAGCACATGAAAAATAGAGTGAATAAAATGCAGAAAAAGGTAGAAGTCTTAAAAAAAAATTAAATCAGTCACATCCTGTACTAAATACAATTCTAGCAAGACTTAAAGGGACACATGTTATGTATCACTGAGAGAAACCCTTAGCAACATACTTTTAGACAACTTTCTCTTTATTTCAAATTCCCATTTAAAATTCAAAAATAAATAGGAAATAAAATTATTTGGAAATCTACCTTCCAAATATGGTCCTTCATGTGTTTAACTTGCTATTCACAAACTCAAGAATGAAGCATACCATTACAACTAGAAATGATAGACAAGTTACACACAAATAGATACAATCATTGTTCCACTGTTACACTTGACTATGCCATCAGATCTAGAACATATAGAATATAACTGTAGACTAGCCTTTATGCATTATTCATCTCAAACTTACATGATATACTTTAAAACAACTATTTGTAGTATCTGTATACAATATAACTGCTTTAGAAAAAATAAAGGGGAAAATCACATCAGAATTATGAAAATACTAATAGTAAAAGAAGGATCACATATGAACATGCAAACACATGCATGAACATTCATACAAACTAACACACACACACACTGAATTTCACTTACACCTTTACACACATACACGTTAGGATCCTGATGTGATAAATACACACACATGTATATATACATATATATGTACAGTACACACTTCTGTATATTATATATAATACATGTGTATATATGTATGTATCAAGCAATATGAATATGCAGTAGTTTAACATGAGTGAAAATGAACGTGAAACAAAATAAAAGTAGTAACTTTGATAAAGCCTTATTTCCTTAAATCACATGGATCTCTGTGCTACATCAAAATCATCTAGGATAATCACATCTCCTCGTTTCAGCAACATCATACATATACCCTTTTTCCTCCCCTCTTTCACTTAATAATGCACACACATTGGACTCGACAAATGTTCACTAAACTTGCGTAATTGTGCAGCACGTCTTGTTCTTTTATTATTTGTTGGAATGAAAAAAATAAACTCTCCACAACCACAAGTGCATACACATTTGGTCCACATTCACATTTCAAAAAATAAAACTGATGCATTCATTAAAATATATGAAGGAAATACTGAAACCTGAAGCATGTGAATGAATTCCAAATATATATCAAAAATATAACTAACTTCTGACACCCATTCCATGCTCATTGCTACTTTCGTCAAAATAATAATAACCAGGAAAATTAGGATAAATGGAAAGAAAAAAATGTATTTCTCATACTAAAGAGACATCTTTGCAATCCTTTCATGAATTGACCTCCTACAGAGGTTAATCATGACCTTTGGTATATTTATATGACAGTGATAGCAACCTCATTGCAACATTTGCTTCAGGAATTACTTTTCCCTAACAGGCAATGAGCTCCACCCACAAAGTTGTTCATTTTTTTCTTTTCTATCCTTTTTTATTTTTCCTTTCCTAGTGCTTTTTCAGGTCCTCAGAGATCTTTCTCTTGTTAGGGAATTGGTTGGTCACCCCACTGCACCTTCACAGATCCTGATGATTCTCACTCACATGCACAGTTCTCTCTTCCCCACTGTTCGCCTGGTCCCCAACGTCTGGTCCCTTGGATGGGTCTCCTGGGCTTCCCTCTTGGCCCCACTGAACAGACTCTGCGGATGATCTCCGCTGGCTCTCAGAGTTATGAAGGTTTTGTAGCTGTCTCAGGAGGAGCTGGATTTTGCTGGCGTGGTGCGGAGGGATGGAGGTGTGGAGCGTGCGGAGAGACTCCTCTGCCTGGAGTTGGGATGAATGGACATGATAAAGTTATTGGATACCATGGTATGTCAAGCTCTACCTCTGGAGCTTCTATTCATTACAAATTTGTTCAAATTTTATCTTCATCAATATGATAAAAGATAATGTATTCTTACTGATAACTCATTCATTCTTGAGATTGTTACAACTGGAATAGATTGGAATACAGCAGCACTTATTGGAGTAAGAAGAAAGTGGCTGAGAATAATGACACACACACGCACACACACAAAATATATATATATATAAGTAACATTCAAAATAGTAATCTCACTTTTCTGAGGAATCCTGCTGCTTCCTCTATGGATTTCCTCCATCGTTCTACTTCTGCCGCATGCAGAGCTTCTTGTTGTTGCAATATTCGTACCCATTCTTCCAGGGCTCCACTTCCTGTCCCAGGTCTGTTTTGGCAATAAAAATATCGATATTTACAAAATAAATTAAGTCAAAATGCTTCCTAAAAACGCTTTTTACTTAAGCCCTGTTCTCAAGTCAATAGACATATTAACTGTTTAATTTTTTACATATAATTTGAAGGAGAGAGATCTTGAAATATGAAGGAAACGATTGTAAAAACATATCTTAGGCTATGTATACAATAAAAAAAAGGACTTTTACATAAAGAAATCAATAAATGTACTTTTCTATGCATATGTGTCTCTGTAAATGAATGCTTTATGTATCTCTATATTCAAATTAGTCTGAGGAACCTACCTGAACATGCTTGGATCAAGAGCTGGGAATGGTGTGGTATGTACAAACATCTTTTCCTCCAATGCCCAAAGTTTGTAGTACAGCAGGGCATTCAGGGTTAAGAGAATGACCAGTGTTGCTACAACAAGTCTTACAGGACCTTCATTGGAGGAATTATTGTTCTCAGTTGTAACAGTTGGCAAAGCTGGAAGGAGAGAAAAAGAAATTAGAAAAATAACACAATTTGGCATATTTTGTTGACCTGAACAGCACACTCACAATCAAAAATATATCCAAGACATAACTGTACCCTAATGAAAATAATAATCATACAAATCTCAAAAAGTAAACCACCCTAAGAACTTACTAAGCTTTCTTGCTGGGATCTGTGTTGATTTATGAATGTCTTTGACCTTATCAGCTGTTGATGGAATGAGGACATCTGGAGGTTCTCCCTTGCTTCCTACGCGCCGTCTTCTTCGCCGTGTCCTCTTCAGATTGGCACTGTCAACCTCAGCAAGGAGTGCAGCATTTATGTCATTTAGTAATGATTCCACACCACAAAATGAATTCTTGTCAATCACACCTGTTAATAAAGAAATATTTATGAAAATTCATATAATCTTCAGCACATATTACCATACTTGTTCTCTCTAGATAATATTTGATCGAGATGATAATTATCAGAGATGGGGGAAAAAAAGAACAAAACATACACGGATCAGTGATTACCTTTCATGAAACCCCAAACATTCTTCTTATATTTAACTTGAGACCAAACACTTAGTCTTGTTTCAGTGGCAGATTCACGTGTTAGACACCAGTGATTTGACACAAAGAAAGAGTCAGCATATGGGATTCCTGCATTACAGGCTTCTGCATCAACTGTATATATTTCTCCTGGTTTACTGAATGGTGACAAAACCTGGAAAACAAAAATTTAAATATTCAGAGAACTTGCACTACAAATTGTTTATTTATATATGTATGTATGTATGTATGTATGTATGTATGTATGTATGCATGTATGGTATAACGGTCAATGAGAATGTCCCACAATATGCAATGCATGTTAGTGTGTGAATGAGAGAATATAACTGTCTACAAATTGTTTATTTATATATGTATGTATGTATGTATGTATGTATGTATGTATGTATGCATGTATGGTATAACGGTCAATGAGAATGTCCCACAATATGAATAAATGTGCAGTAGTTTTACATATTACACAGCTACTTTGAAAATCTTCAAGAAGTAAATGCACAACAATAATGCAAATTGTCTGGGCAAAGACAGAGAGAAAGACTATATTTAACTCATCTTACCTGTGTTTCTGTTACATGTGAAACTTTTGGGCCAAAGCTGTTTGGAGGGAGTGTTAAGGTATAGGTCACCTGCCGGAGTTTCTGATTGGTTTCATGGTTGCTTTGCCATGGACTGGCAACAACATCTGAAATGGAAAATGAAGTGGTTTCACACTCTTGTATAAGGACATATCAAGTTTTAAGATCTGAAGCAGAAAAAAACACACAGCAGAAACACCAACAATAATAAACCCACATTCTTTGAGAAACCACAAAACACAATACAGTCAGAAACAGAAAGGCAGACCTACCAGTGGTTTTCCGAGCTGTATAAAGATCTAGCATAAACTTGGAATTGGTAAAGAGTAATGTAAACACTGTATCCACAGGCAGTGCAAAAACAGTGTTGATGATCTCACGACCCTGGTGGTGCGTGGTCAGGTTGGGGCAAACCACACACTCTGAAGATAAACCTGCAGAGAAATAAAATGCTCGGTTAATCTCTCGCTTTGCAAATCAAGTTTTGTAAGACATATTCTATTCCACGGACTGAATCCAAGGTAAAACTGTCAGGTCATCTCAAATTCACCTCTTTCTTGAAAAACTGTCTCCATCACTATTCTACTGAAACCTTTCAAAACCTAAAGACTTCTGTCAAGAAAACTTTTTAAAAAATATGAAAGAGAACCTACTGCACTACTTGCTTTGATCAAATTATTATGAAACCATTATATCGAAACCTAATTCAACATAAATGAAGATTACACTTTGAAAGAATTATACAACTGACGTCCAAAGAAGAAAAAGCAGAAAACCTTACATGTAACCT